AGGCGCACCCTCTACGTTTTGTTTGTATATAGTACAGTGTAGTGTAAAAGCATTGTTGTGGATCCGGTGGTGTAACTGATCTGACATAAAGTTGGCTATGGCTGTTCTCTATGGTATGGATTGAATGAATGGCATTAATTGTGTCAAATTCGATATACATAAATACCTAATTTGGGCGGAAGGGATTGTTGATAATGGAGACCAGTAGCCTCATAGCTAGTAATGTACTCTATCTGATTGACCTACTTATTAAAAACATGAAAATAGTATATTTTAAAATTTACAACACAGAAGGTATTAAAAATTAGGTTAAAACTTAGTAATAATACAACTTTGAATAAGTGGTATTATGACTAAGTTTTAATACTACAATATTAAAATTATAGAAATAATAATAAAACACTTTATTTATTTAAATAATAAAATGTAACTATAACGAAACTCTCGTAACTGATTCCAATATTCTATTCTCAATATATTTTAAGCAACGCACACTAAACTAATTTGGTGTAGTGCAAGTAATTGTACGTACCTATGAATTCCATAAGCATATAAGTGCAACATAGTGCAGGTTCGTTGACCCGGCACAAATAAATAGCGGTCTATAATGTAACCAATGCGTGTTTCCGATCATTCACGGTAAGGTTTACTGCACCTATTTATTTTCACAATATCTTCGAAGTTTGTAGGTACAGCATGGGAATAAACGAGCCGATCCTAGGGAATACGCATGTTAAATATTGAAGATAATTTTACTAAAAGCCAGCATCTTTGTTAAAAGGGGAACTACATAAACAAATCGTTTGAATATAATAATATTACCTGTACAGCTATTTCATTTCATACAGGGATAATGCATTGTTTTTTTAAAATGTAAATCATGCTGATTTATGTATATCATAATTATTAAACTAATAACATCTTAGAAATTTGGAATGGTAACGCATGAGTGTTGGTATGAATGTCACCTGGTAACATGATGTCTGTAGTACGGTTTATGTATATAGGCGACTGTTACTGTTTACCATTGGATGGGTCGTCAGTTTGTTTGCCATTTTAATTACGTAATAAAAGAACACATTTTCTTCTGCCAGTCAATCAATCAATATAATTAATTGACTGATTAAGTAGGTGTACAGTAAACAGCTGTGTTGTAAAAAAAAAAATACAGAATACAAGTTTCATTAACAACCATCCATTATAAATTTATTTTACAGATTAAGTATCTAGGTACTTAATGGTATAATGCTGATACTCCGATATCGTGGCTAAAGATTTTATCAGTCTATCGGGTGGTCGGTCAAGTTTCAGATCTTTTGTAATAATTGAAGATTTTGCTACAAAAAAATACTTTAATATTTTCAAAATTTCTATATGTATAGCCATTTTTCTTTAAATCAAATCATAATATTTTGAGTTATAGACCCCGTGACTTTAGTATTTATAGTAATAGAATAAGAATAGTTCATGGAATATTTGTTTTTGAACAGATTGGAAAAAAATAAACGTGAAGCTTGTTACAATCCGCAATCCAAGAAGGTTAAGCGGTTTCTATGATAAGCCCAGTATATCTTAATCCTCTGGTATACCAACGCTGGAGTGGTATCACTGGTATCACATATATAACATGATGCCCGTAGTACTGTTCATTTATAGCTTCTCGAATATTTTAATTAAGTAGGTATATAAACACAAAATTCCTAGCGAACTCAAAACTAGCAAAAGATTGACAGTCTTCCAAATTCACGACCAAACTCTTTTCCCGGCTGCTCGTTATGTGGGTATGGAGGCATATAAGTATGTATGTATATATATATGTAGATGCAGAGTAGCGGGTCACGTGTAATCTAAACGGCTTGATGGATTTTTATGAATGGAGTGTAATTAAATTCGTCTTACTAGGGGAGTGATATAAGCCACATGACGTCAGTAAAATATTAGGGAAGGGATTAAAAGATAAAAGTCTTATTAAATACACAGAGTAGCAAAATTTCATGTATTTTCCTATATTTTTTAGTACAGTAACAAGTAGTTGTTGCTTGTTAGTAACCATTCCTTTTAAATATATGTAGAAAATGAAATACTTGTGGCAAATTACACGAAAAAATCATACTGGAATTATAAAAGGAGGAGGAGGACGCAATGGAAGGAGATTCAGACATATATCATAATCTTATTATAATAATGTTAGTTTATTCATAAATTACTATTTCTATTCTGGTCTCTAATTACATCCAAAATGTAGAGCGTTCAAATCAGGCTGACACCAAAAAAAAATCTGTGTCGTTTATGGCTAACTCTCCGGTGAAGCAACGCCGATAACAAAACCTAAACCTAATATGAGAGATGGCATTAGGCTTGCCTCCTGCCACCTTTGGATTCAAATCTGTCCAACAAATGTAGATAAGGATGTCAAGTGTTGCGTTTAATTGACTTTGCCTGTGACTATCTCATTCGGGAAGTATCATTTGTAAAGTTAGTAGAACAATAGGATTCTTAAAATAATTTAACTTTGTTGTATATTAAGTACAAATAATGTTGGTGATAATCAATTGTCTTAATAATATCCCATGGAAATGCATATTGAGTAGTTACATGACAATGTAATTTGCTACATCTTTTATTGTAACTATTTTTTAATAAGTACTTTGAAGGAAATACCTTTATTTATCATATCAAAGAAAACATATATCTACCTAACGGCATCTCGTCGAGATTGAAGTCCCTTTTATCATAATTTCGTGAAGATCAAGGACTGTCTAGCCCGTCCAAACTGCGAATACAACGAATCTATTCATAATATTTGCACTCTTTCAAGATTGTATGATAACGTAATGTAAAGATTGTAGGTACAATACAGATTGCCAGAAAGTAAACGAAAATAATATACATCTTTTATCATGAAATAAAATGATGAAAACCAAAATATAGCACAGAAATATCACTGTGACTAAATATAATATTTACCCCGAGGCTATATCTTTAGGCAACAATATTATATAAGTATACATAGGTAAACAAATCTACAACCAAATATGTGTATTTGAAAATGTAATTAAAAATATTATAAAAGATGAAAGTTAAAAATAGTATTGCATTCATAATAATGCAGAAAATAGTGCAGAGTAATCTGCTTTGTCTACATTGATGAATAGGAAGCCATTTAGCTAAGAGAACGTTTCCTATGAAAGACTGTGTTTTATATGGAAGATATGGTCGAGTTGGCGAAGACAAAAGATAAATCAGATAGAACTTTTAAAGCATAATTTTAGAGAAATATTTATAGATCTTCATTTAAATGTATTTTTACGAAAAGTCCACATGGTATATTTTTATTCCATACTGTTAACACAGCTAAACGTAAATATGTAAAGTATTTATATTTATAAAAACTAACTATAACCACAGATAAGATAATATATATCTATCCATATTTATAAAAAACAAAATTCTCTATTCTTGTTCTATCATTTTCAAAAGTAGATTATTTATTTTAATATTAATTGTAATAATTTCTTTTGATTTGAAGTTTTTATGTACCAGACTTGGAAAAGAAACTAACGGTACAGGTATGTATGTATATGTGAACAATATCACGGACATCACGTTATGTATTCCTCATTTGTTACCATATTGGACGACTGTAATATAACTGCCAAATCTCACCCTTCAATCCGAAACATAAAAAATATTGTCATACCATAAAATTACTTTTACATGTATGCTCTCTGTAAAAAATATTCGTCCTAATAAGGAGGGAGCTACCATTGACCCTCATTTACAGCAGGCAGTTTACGATGCTCCCTTTGAAATCACACACTTATTTCTTGAAACTAAACTTGACTCGTACGTGCACTTTACGACCGCTGCTCTAAGTGAGGCGTGATTTCCTGACTATTGATGAGTATGTATTGTTACAAAGTAGGCGTAGTACATGGGATACTAATACATTTAAGTAGGAAGTAATAAAACTTTTATATTTTCAATCGTATATCAATTCGTATTTATATAGAATAGCACTTTAGATGTCCTAGTATTTGTATTAAATGATATACATTATATCTAAAGAATTTGTCATGAATACCTCAATTCGATATACAAACGTTAGGTTATGGTTTTATTGTACTTTTTAGAACAGAAATTGGTTAGGTCACCAAGTAATTACACTAACAAAGGAAAAAAAAAGAAATAGGTATTGTATTACCTGCTAAATTTTTATATAATTAAAATAATTATAATAATGAAAAATAAATAAATATTAAATGGCAATTTTTTTTCACACAAACAAAAACTAAATTTATTAAAGCATCGATAATGCCAGATATAGCGAAGATGCATAATAATCAACTTAGCACCCAGCTGATACAAATTTTTCAATAGACAGATAGATAGTACAGTAGATATCTAATTGAAAAAAATATATTTTTCATATGAAGCTTATCTTTCTATAATATAGTAAAAGATAAATGGAAGGAAAATTATGATTAACATAATAGACGTTAAGCGCAAGACCGTCCTTTGCATAGGATCGAGAGTATATTAATCCCAACTAATAGAATTTATGATAGAAAATACCTCTCTTGATTATATACGATAACGCACATCGATCGAGCGATATATACTAGTAACAAATTATTATTAAATATATATAGTAAATATAATATATATAATGAAACACAAATATAAGAATAAGTGATAGCTGAAGCTGAATTCAAAATCCTTTTTTTAGTATTTTGTAAATTGTGAAAATTTTTAATTTGTAATTTAATAGAGTAGAATTTAATCGGTAATTTGTGTAAGTATTATTTATTCAAGATTACGTTTTGATTAAATGTATTTATGACTTCTAATTTTCAACACAATATATTAGGTACAGCATGTCATATTAACATTCTTAAATAAAACATTAACAGTTTAATCAATCTATTGTTAAAAGAATCAGACATAAGCGTTGTAAATGATAGAAAGACCTATCTTAAAAATCATTATAGCAGCTACAACTAACCCTTTTTCAGTGGTGTAGGTTCAAAAACCTTCTTATTTTTCTTGTATCTTTTTATATTACATGTTAACTTTTCAATAGCCTTTAATATCTTCTTGCTGACTTTGGTTATTGTTCTTCGTTTCGGATCGCTATATTTTTTCGTTCGTTGTCCGTCGCTGACTGTCTTTTCGCGGCCTGAATCCTCACTATCATCAGTTTCCGTAGCAGACGAATCAGACACTGGATGGAATATGTACGGACTACTTGCAAAACAAGGTGAGTTCATTTTTTAAAACACGAATACCATATCCTCTCGAAAATAACTTACAAGATCACTTACAAGAATTCTATAGTATAGTATAGATATTAACTTTTAAAGCATAAACACGACTATTCACAATGAAGTCTTGAAGAACGTTGTCAAAGTCAACGACGTACTGAGTAAGAATCGGGAAGCTTCAACCAGATCGTCTGTAGACCGTAACGCCACTCCTAAGGGCAAGCCCGTGGGACCTTGGCTGTCTCATTAGTCCAAGGCGAGTAATTGATGGACAGCTTGCTATACACAATGACTTAGGAACTTTTGTTGCGAAGTCATTAAACAAGAATAAAGACTATATTAAAACAACTGGTTACCATTCATATCCTTGGTCACAATGGTTTCTATTACTTATAATATTAGCCTATGTCGTTACACCCGATCTGCGTTAACTTACAGTAATATTGCCTATATGTTAGAATTACACATTTAGTTATTATATTATATTTTTTATAATTTTAGGCTCTTTGTTATATAATTAAGTTATGTATATATAGTATGACAAAGCATCTACGATATTATTTTTATTAAGAACTCATAGGATATACATTAAAAAGTAATTATGCAAATTATAATTGAATGTCGATACTTTAGTCAACTAAGTCGAGAAAATTTCTGCAATCTGTTATCACCCCATTTGATAGTTTTTCATATATTTTTTTAACACAAAATATAACAGAACGCGTACTCATGATGCAATCTATCACCACGTCATATTTTATTAAAGTCCGTTCAGCCATTTTAAAGTCATGTAAATATAACAAATATATTATATAGACAAATAATATACAAATGACTTCTTCTGAGCATTAACATTCTGCTTCTTCTGTAAATGAGATATACGCCTAGAGGTATCAAAGTTTTGCATATTCAATATAATAAGGCTTGTAGCTGTCTTGGTTTATCTGCGCATCTGGTGTGTTTGCGGAAGCGAGGTTGGACGATTTCTACACCATACCATACTTGTTGCGGCCTCGCAACATTTCAGGGATAAGCAAACGCCATTGTAAGTATCGTGAATATACTCTGTTAGTGGATATGTCTATAATTAGTATCAGTTATGATTTCTTCAGCTTTGTATTAGATAACAGATAGGTATATCCGTGTTTTGATAGAGTATATCTTCACGCCAAATTTCATTAGGATCAGTTCAACTGTTTAATCATGAAAGGTAACAAACAGACTTACACATATTCGTTTTATTATTAGTATGGATAGCTGTTATAATTAAAGTATATTTTATATGATTGTTTGGTCCATTATTTCTTGATAAGACCTTATTTACATGGTTTTTATTGACAAACTATAGTATACATATTATATATTACTATTCGCACTTTTGATGCTAATACTTTGCTTTCTTACTTATATAATTTTTTCTTTATTATGATATGTCAGCTTTACATTTTTTGATAACAATACGTGTTTTAATATTGGATTTTATGATCCGTAACGTGTATATAACTAACTACTTACGTTAATGAACGTAGAATTAACAATAGCATCTTAACCTAGTTCCATGCATAATTGAACAAACTAACCTTTATCCAAATGCACTAGATTCTTAACAATATATTAAATCTAGAGGACAATAGTGCTTCTTCCTGGTGTTCCGAATAAAAAACTAAATAAATAGCTATATCTTCACTACTGCAACTTCAGATGGGAAAGTTAATTGTCAATTATTAATGTAGAACGTGTGACGCATTCAACGTGGGAGAAGGTAATCCTTATGCCGTTTCTCGAATTAATTTATTCTGTTATCGGTGTTTCTTATTGCACAAGAGTTAGAGATAAAATATTGAGATAGAAAATGTTAGTTTCGACCAGATCAGTACTGACGACCTAAAGCTTTAGAGATTCTGGTTTTGAATACGTAATAACATTTCTCTGAATTACTGTTTTAAATTACCATATTCTTATTTAAAACTATTTTCATAAATAGTAATTTGTTACAGATTCTGTAAAACATCTTGTATATAAAAATTGTAACGTAACTGCCTAATAAATAAATATATATATAAAATAATAAAAGTAAACACCAAAATGTAGCAGGAAAGAAATAAACAGTCGAAAAAGTAATTATGCCACTGAAGATTATTTTCTGCTCCGACGCGGATAATTCTCAGAGGAGGTCAATTTCCGTTACACTTCTCTTCTTAAAAACTATTAGACACGATTAAGGAAGCTACAGATATAAGTAGGTTAATCTCTGGAATTTTAAAGGAAAAACGGCATTTAGCTTCACTTGTTGAGTGACAGTAATATTTAATTATTATATTATAGACTAGCTTCCCGCCCTAGCTTCACCTAGTGCATGTGTATTATAGATATAAAAATATTATAGTCCTCTTGAATTACGTTCTTCTCTTGTAATTGCGTAGTTTAAAAGATCTAAGCGGGGATGACTTTGTTTTGTACTACAGAAATATATAAAATAATATTTATAAATAAAACTAACGAAGTAGTAGTATTACTAAATAGGGTCCTAACTCATGATTATTATTTAATAATAATAGTATAGCAATGACTTAAAAACTAGTCCATCTTTATTTGTTGAATATATAGATGAATAGATAAAATATACTTTGTCGCTCTGCTACAATGACAAGAGTTTAAAAGTGCAAGTTATATTTTAGTAACGCCTGCCATTACAAAATAGCAAAATACATGTAAGGCAAATATCGTACCTTGCTCTATACGAATTGATTACAATATAATACCGAACTAATATTATTGATTAAGATATATATGTTTTTATTATTTGAGTACTGAGTACTCCATCTCTGTGTATATCATATAGTATAGTATAGTATCATACCTATATTGCGTCTTAGTAAGCAATTTTAAATTATTTCAGAACGTAGATTTCTCCTACTGTAAATAATGTAATATGTTTAAAAGATTAGGAGAAATCTACGTTCCTGAAATAATTTAAAATTGCTTACTAAGACGCAATATACATAGGTATGATAAAAATTTAGTATACAATAGATAAAACGACAAAATTACTCTTATGTAATCTGCATTCATGAGAGTATGTACGAATGTCTCAACGCCTCGATGGCTCTTTAAACAAGTCTGGAACACTTGCGTACCGACTTAGTCACTTCTTCCGACTTTAAAGTAAGTGAAGTTTCCGAGAGTTGCCGTAATGATGCAAGTCACTAAAACTCACAGAATTCTATCAACGAACGCCACTTTTATAATGAACTGTTTTTTCAATCGATATCTTGATTTAAAAGCGAATAGATAACCCTTCGGAAGTTTTTTCATTAATTTAGATCAAGTAATTGACTTGACGGCGAATAATTCATCTTTTTAGCCTTAGGTTCCTAGAGACAAAAACAAGTTGTTCCTATTTGTTTCTTTTCAAACTTTTCTAACAAACAGTCAGTAATTTGTAAGTAAATGTTATACGTCTGTATTTCAAATGAAATTACATTAAGTGCTGACAAGATATTTTTTTTAATATGCAATATTTGGTTAGCAGTTTTTCAATATCTTTTTCTTTAGTGATGATTAACAGTAGTTCTTTAGCAGCAGAGCAGAAGTTTATGAGTTATGCATATGTGGAATGTGATAAAGTCGTTCATATAAATCAGCGTACTCGTAATATTTTTCAGTATCGAACAATAACTTTTTTCATTTGAATTACGTAAATAGACTACAGAAAAAATTATGTATAAGTTTAAAACTGAAATGTAAATAATTATAAAATACTGCTTAATTGTACTTCAACACTCCTTCTTTAGGTTGTTATAATAATTAAAAAATTCACTGACTTTGAAAAATTACCTTACTTCTTGATTAGCAACTTTATATTAAAATATTTGTTTTCTAAAATCAACTTTTGAATTGAGATAATAACGCTCCAACGTTTTTTTTACGAGAATATACATAGTAGTATCTAGAAATTTCCACTAATAAAACAAATTGAAGACATTTCTTAAATGAAGCAAGACGATTAATAATCATTATTATATTCTTAAATGAAACAATAAAAAATATTATAGACTTACCTGATTGAGAATTGCTGTAAAAATCTTCAAATGTCGAAGAATATGTACAATTACTATCATCCTGCTTGCACTTCTCGAAGTTGTTATAATAATTATTTTCTTGGCGTGATGTAGTAGGAAAAGGTCGTTCATTTGATATGTTCACTTTTTCTTTATTTAAAATATGTTGCAGCTTAGATTCATTTATGTCTTTGTTTTCGGAAAAACCATATTTGCTATCAGTATTATCTTGACAATGGTCATTAGAACCATTAAATATTATTTTTTTAATGGTTTTCACTTCCTCGGTTTCACTTATTTTATGTTCGGTAACGGTATGCTTTCTGATTTCCTCTTTCTTTTGAAAATTTGTCTCACTCTGAGAATTAGGCAACGTTGATTTATATTCGTATTTTTTATTTTCTTTCCGCAAATATTTTTCAAATGGATCACTATTTCTTTTTGATTCAAAAGGATTAGACCCTTCTCCTTTAGTGATATTTGGAAGACTTTCATCGTGATATTGATATGTTGCACTATTATTAAGATAGCCGTTTTTATCATTATTCAAAAATTGTTTGTTATTTGAGTCGTCATAACCATTCGTAAATTTCAAGTCATTAATATTTTCATGAGGAAAACTACTAGGACCTGATTCGTTTTTACTATTAAAAAGCGTCGATGATTTAAAATCTGTGCTGATATCGTTATATGAAGATATATTTTCATCGGTTTTATTTCTATCTACACCAGAGAAATAAGCTCTGTTATTTGGTAATGGCAGTTTGGAAGCACTGGTATAATTTGAAGGTAATGTAGTATAAAAAGGATTAGTTGGATGGAATTTGAGTGGTTCGTCATTAGTCGTAACAGATTTTACTAGTGTTGTGGAACTAAGAGCCGTTGGTATAGAATTAAGAGAAGATCCCATTGTTGACGATATCGGTCGGTTTTGCGATATAATAGGTGGTCTTATTGTTGCATATACAGGAGCTTGTGGAGTTGCTCTGCCACTTTGAAACTCTGTAATCAACTGAGACGGTCCTGAAACCAAGAAAAAGTGTATAAATACGTATTTCATAATATGTTTCACATACAGGAAACAATGTAAATGTTAAATGCAAAAATAGAGATAAAAATAAAAAACTATAAAATTTTGAATACACTTCCATAAGTTTTGGATGTAAAAATATGTAGTATAACATATCATATAATACTAAAGTATTGAGTAATTATATGCACGACTATTACATGTTACGAATGCTTCGACCATAATGACATCTATTTATTGTTTTATCAGATGATGAAATTTAATATTTATATAAATAGATTATATTATAATGTCACTGAATGGAAAAGAAACTTCTCTCAAGTTTAGGTCTAGATATAATGTCGACGTACTAATTAGTTGAGTTACTAATTAGTTCGAGGGCGGTATTGTACCAATACCACATTGTACCAATGTACCATGTTCGGTTCGGTTCGGCCTCCACGCGGTTCCCCTTAGACACCATCATAATAAATTCCTGTCATGATGAGGTAATTGACTTGACCTCATATTCAAATTATTATCCTCCACTGATGCCCAGCCAGCGTAAACCGTTAATACAGATGTGTACACCAATCTATAATCATCCATTTAAATATGTACGTATATATATATATATAAGTTTATATAGATAGTATACGTATATAAGCGTAGCTTGTATAAGTTTTACTTATTGCCAAACTTACTTCTCAACTCCGTACTCTTGCCAATTGATCTTCTTCTCGGTGACATTTCCCTGTCTCTGGCGACAACAAAACTTAGATTAGAATAAAATTTTGAATCCAAGTTATAAATATTGTATCATCGAAATAAAAAATCTATTATAATTTACGGCATAGTCGCAATTTTCCCTTAGTGAACGTATAAATTGCGATATCTAAAATTATTTCTTTAGGTAAATCTGAGCAAAATACTACACCTCTATGACTAGAAGAACTTTGTACATATTTTTCTGAATGGTTATATATCTAACATTCGTCTATTACTTATATTATAAAAAAGCATAAATTATATACGGCAAAACGTTGTGAAAAACAGTAATAATACATGTTTTTTTAATTATTATTTTTACCGTTTTACTTACAGTTTCGTGAGCAGTTAAGTTTCAACCAAAATAGGCATAAAATGTGCCTTTAGTATGGTAATCAAACGTAAGTAATAATTAAAAAAACAACAGATCTCTAACATATAAATGTCGAAACAAAATCAAATATAAACATATAAATCCATATAATTTTCTATGTGTAAGTATTGGGACAAGTCAAAGAAAAGGCTTTGTGATCTGTCACAAAACATAGCACTGTACTCGTACACACAAAATGTCCACTTTATAAATCATGTAGAGACTAAGTGCTTCAATTTGCTTTCTGAGTAATCTGTAGAAAGGCAATGTTCAGTTCTCTTGCAAAGTAACGAAGAGATGTCAGCTTTATGTATTATACATGAACAACTGAACATCTAAGTAGTGGATTACAATAGATATTGATAAAAACTATAAAATTAATATCAATCAGATGCAGTTACAGAGCCATAAAAAATCCAACAATTATCTGCTAATAAGCAGATGCCAAGCCCAATTTCATCCAATTTGCCCAAAGTAAGACTCAAATAGATCTGCCATAAGATCCAATATCGTAGTATTAAGTCAATTAAAGTTGTTAATGTCCCGAAAAATGTTTTATTATCACTTTTAGAGTCTACCATTTTTTATAATTCGTCAACAAGTTTTATTTGTAGTCTGTTTTTGTTGTGTAGTCTGAATTTAATTTAAATATGGTATAAGATTATACAGAAAGCGATAAATATTTTAAACTGATAATGAAACATTTTAAGGGACATTAACAATTTTAATAGGATTATTTAAATTTGAACCGTAAATTATTACTACAATTTCATACAGTAGTTAGGATACCACTTCTTTAATATGTAATATTCGATGATGATCATTATTATAGTACCTTACCTCTTTGATTTTAAATAGTTAATATTACCACAGCAAGTTACTATGAAACATTACTAACTAGTCATTCTAGTAACTATTAATAACAAATTACCAATATGTTTTAATTAAGTACATAAATAACTTTAATACAATAATATATATATACATATATTCTTTATTGCACTATGATATACAGTTATCATAATTTACAATGTATCACCACTACTAATTTTTATTCTCAAGATATAAGAGACATCTAGATGAATAGATCACAACTATACATCTACTATGCAAGGAAAGAACAGCCCCCTACAGGGGAATGAAGGATTTAGTAAATAAAAAAGCATTTCCATTTTTCTCTTCTCTCTCCTCCTGTTTTAATCGTTCTTTTCTGGTGGGAAGGGTATTAATAGTATTGGAGTCTAGTGATTCTTTCATTACAATATATATCTTAATTTAACCACCAAGCGATTTCTCTGGAAACCAATAAATGATTGGAAACCGTGGTTTCCTAGAGAATTCGCCACGTCCTGACCACATGCTCATTCTATTATCCTCCATTGGTGCTTCACCAGCGTATATGGTATACCATATACGCTGGTGAAGCACCAATGGATCCTATAGGATACATTCCATTATCATCCATTTAAAAACTCCTCCTCATCATATCAGAAGAGAGTTGTCTATAATAAAGGCAATAAAGTATTCTGTATCATGAATGATAATCATATATTCATACTTCCGATACTTACTCGTTGAGGCCAAGTCGAAGTACCGGACCAGCTGATCTGAGCATGGCGTGGGCATCAGCATTGTTCATGCCGCGTGTAGATCTACCATTAATGGATGATATCACGTCGCCCTCGCGTATACCGCTCAGCGACGCCTTCCGCCCCGGATTCACCTGAAATAATGTATAAATAACATTACGGTTAAAATACGGCAGCACACGAAGGATGTAAATTGGAATAATGGAAGGAAATTATGTTTATTTATAAATTGTGGTATTGTTATCATTATGAAACAAATAAATAAACGGGGCAGTACTGTGAGAAATTTAATATATGAACCTTATGCATCCTTTAAATTGTTAATCATTTTATTTATTGAATATATTTAAGGAAATTTATAATTTTAGACTCATTTACTGTGTACGTAGTTTCACCCTCGTTAAATTTATAGGCCTTGTGTTATTCTGATGAATATGGTACATTACTATAAAGTTTCATTAAAATATGTACGTTCAGTATTTTTTTTTAAAGAGTAAGAAACATCTTTACATCTATTTATACTCACAAACTTCCGCGTTTATAATAAAGTAAGATTGTTAATAAAATCATATGTTACCATTTTTATTTATATGTTGCATTCGTAAGACAATCCTTACTAATATTATAAATGCGAAAGTAACTCTGTCTGTCTGTCTGTCTGTCTGTCTCGCTTTCACGCCAAAACTACTGAACCGATTTAAATGAAATTTGGTACGCAGATAGTCTATACGCCGAGGAAGGACATAGGCTACTTTTTAATGCGAAAAAAGGGTTGTAAGGGGTTGAAAATGGAAATACAAGGTTATCTTTATGCGGTTTAATACACACATAGTATAATACTGGCTTAACTAAAAAATTAGAAATTTTGGAAAGTCTACTTTATAACTGTGGTATTAAGTCTAACTTTAAAAATTTTAAATTTCTGAATTACACCAATATTGTACTAGATATGCGACATAAATAAACATAAATGTCATTTGTATAAGCAGCGCGCATGCGAAGTTGAGCGAGCAACTTATTATTGTCAATCCGTTGTCTCCTTATAAATTTAAATGTATAATCTCTGCAATATTATTTTATAAATACATAAATATAATCCTGGTACGGGCTATAACTGATGACCCTGCTCTTGGACAAGATCGTAATCACATATTATTAATATTTTTGAAGATTAAAACAATATATAATATTAAGAATGAAGTTGTCTATACATATGAACAACATTTCCTTGAAAGAAACAACATCTACCGTTCCATCCGAGCTATTCAGGGTCGGAATACGCGTTTCTCCCTTCTGGCCAGTAGAGTCAAAGTATGGTTTGCGCAAGTAGAGGGATGTTTGCAATTTAGCATTCACATCTATTATTTTGATTTAACAAATTTTTATTATGTTATTGGCCAACTGGACCACCAATTTACAAAAGAAGTTAAAGAAATTTTTAGACTATACATTAAATATAAATAAATATGACATTTAAATTTGTAAAAATGTCACCATTCAAGGGGTAAAGTAAAATAGCAGATAATAGTTTTTATGGAAATTCGTCATATTTGAAGCTAGAACGATGAAACTTTTTTCATTCGTTTTTTTGTCAGTTGGTCAGTTTAATAAATACCTTACTAATATTACGATAGTGAAAGTAACTCTGTCTGTCTGTCTCACTTAAATGCCAAAATTACTGTACTGATTTAAATGAAGTTTAAAATCTAGATCCTGAGAAAGGACATAGGTTACTTTTTAATCCGAAAAAGGGTTATAAGAGATTGAAAGAGGAGGTTATATAGAAGTATCGTCATTTTTAAAGGTTGAAGCTTGAATCTTATTTTTTGCGTATTGATTAAATATAATTAACGAAAATGGGTCAAAAGGTGAAATATGGTAGGCAAGTATTGACATTTTTAAAGCTAGAAGCTTGAAACTTATTTTTTAGGCTGTTGAGAAAATATTAGTACCTACCTTCACAGGACTCAGCCATAAGTGAAATTTTCATTTTTGGAGCTAGAACGATGAAACTTTTTTATTGGGTTAGATTATTAATATATATATTTTATTATTTGGTTAAGGTCACTATTTTACGCGGACGAAGTCGCGGGTACAGCTAGTTGTATATATTATTGTTATATGAGATATAATTGTTATTGATATGGGAGAGAATGACCAAAGTTATTACCTTATTCTATTTGGTAAATAAACGATGGGCTCGGTGGTCTAGTGGTTTAGCACACCGCCTTACTTCCGATGGTCACGGGTTCGATTCCTCGCACGGCACAAACATTTGTATTCATGAGTATGATTGTTTGTATCGGTCTGGGTGTTTTCTATGTATAATATGTTTATATTTACAAAAAAAAATACGTATGTATATTTGTATCAGTAATCTAGTACCCATAACACGAACATTAGCTAGTTTATCTTGGATCTAGATGGCGCTGTGTTACTTGACAAAAGAAGTTACTGAATTAAAATACCTATATATATGATATGAAATACCTATGTATATGTGAAAATTGGCTTATTATTAAGATAGTCGGAGCCAACCTATTCGTTGGCTCCGACTATCTTATATTTAATTATAATATATTTAATAGTATACTAGGAAACTATATTATTGTTCTTAAAACGTCGTAAGCGTTATCACTCGTGATATAAATAAAAAACAGTGCTTATTAATGTAACAAAAATAGTACCTCTAATAAAATAAATGTAATTATAAAATTCATATATATATGTAAAAATAAACTATATTAAATATTTAATGATAAATTACTAAACTTTTTCTTTATGTGGTATATAATTTATATAGATTATCACAATAATGCAAAATATTTATTCATCGGTATTCATTCTGTAATTTCTTCTATGTTTATTAACGATAACGTATTTTTTTACATTTACCAAAAAAAAGTTAATTGAGTATATTCCAATATAATTATTTTGGAATATATTAATAAATCCATAATAAATGCAAACACAAATCACTATTGAAAAATCATCATTCTAGTACTCTTGAAAAGAAATTATAAATAAAATTTCATGATGTTCCCTACGAAATGAAAGTGTTTACTATAGTTTTTTTTATTTCTCACGGGAATCAGTTTGTTATACAAAATGTACTTTGTTCTAGTATAATATATATATATATATATATATATATATATATATATATATATATACTAGCTGTACCCGCGACTTCGTCTGCGTAAAATAGTGACCTTAACCAAATAATAATATATATATATTAATAATCTAACCCAATAAAAAAGTTTCATCGTTCTAGCTCCAAAAATGAAAATTTCACTTATGGCTGAGTCCTGTGAAGGTAGGTACTAATATTTTCTCAACAGCCTAAAAAATAAGTTTCAAGCTTCTAGCTTTAAAAATGTCAATACTTGCCTACCATATTTCACCTTTTGACCCATTTTCGTTAATTATATTTAATCAATACCGCAAAAAATAAGATTCAAGCTTCAACCTTTAAAAATGACGATACTTCTATATAACCTCCTCTTTCAATCTCTTATAACCCTTTTTCGGATTAAAAAGTAACCTATGTCCTTTCTCAGGATCTAGATTTTAAACTTCATTTAAATCAGTACAGTAATTTTGGCATTTAAGTGAGACAGACAGACAGAGTTACTTTCACTATCGTAATATTAGTAAGGTATTTATTAAACTGACCAACTGACAAAAAAACGAATGAAAAAAGTTTCATCGTTCTAGCTTCAAATATGACGAATTTCCATAAAAACTATTATCTGCTATTTTACTTTACCCCTTGAATGGTGACATTTTTACAAATTTAAATGTCATATTTATTTATATTTAATGTATAGTCTAAAAATTTCTTTAACTTCCTTTGTAAATTGGTGGTCCAGTTGGCCAATAACATAATAAAAATTTGTTAAATCAAAATAATAGATGTGAATGCTAAATTGCAAACATCCCTCTACTTGCGCAAACCATACTTTGACTCTACTGGCCAGAAGGGAGAAACGCGTATTCCGACCCTGAATAGCTCGGATGGAACGGTAGATGTTGTTTCTTTCAAGGAAATGTTGTTCATATGTATAGACAACTTCATTCTTAATATTATATATTGTTTTAATCTTCAAAAATATTAATAATATGTGATTACGATCTTGTCCAAGAGCAGGGTCATCAGTTATAGCCCGTACCAGGATTATATTTATGTATTTATAAAATAATATTGCAGAGATTATACATTTAAATTTATAAGGAGACAACGGATTGACAATAATCAGTTGCTCGCGCAACTTCGCATGCGCGCTGCTTATACAAATGACATTTATGTTTATTTATGTCGCATATCTAGTACAATATTGGTGTAATTCAGAAATTTAAAATTTTTAAAGTTAGACTTAATACCACAGTTATAAAGTAGACTTTCCAAAATTTCTAATTTTTTAGTTAAGCCAGTATTATACTATGTGTGTATTAAACCGCATAAAGATAACCTTGTATTTCCATTTTCAACCCCTTACAACCCTTTTTTCGCATTAAAAAGTAGCCTATGTCCTTCCTCGGCGTATAGACTATCTGCGTACCAAATTTCATTTAAATCGGTTCAGTAGTTTTGGCGTGAAAGCCAGACAGACAGACAGACAGACAGAGTTACTTTCGCATTTATAATATTAGTAAGGAAAGTAAGGATTATATATATTATATATAGGATCATCTCTGGGGTCGCACGAATTATTTTAAAAGACATTGTTAACAATATCAGACATATAGAAAACATATGTAATATTTTTTATTGCTACTTCCATATATTTTCATAAACATAATAAAGTGGTAACTTCGTACAGAATTTATTCAATTGGCTTTTTAGATTTTTAAGAATATTTTCAGTTATACTGAGAAAGTATTTTTAATAAATTAAGTTTATTCTTTACTGTATTATAGTTTACTTAACTATAACATATTTATATAAAGATGTTTATATGATGTAGTTAGATTGCATGGGCTATTTGGTGTAATGAATAATTTTTAATCGACTGCTTAAAACTAGTCTATTACAAATGTTTTATATTTGTATCTAGATTTAAATTACTTATTATTAGTGGGCAGAAAAAAATAACAAGGTTTATAATCACAACTCATTTGCCTTTTTACA